CTTGGAACGTTTCAATGGTAAAATGAAGGTAAATACACACGAAATGTATTTACTACTAGTCTTAATGTTTCTCTTCTCTCTTTCGCCTATTATTAGTGAATTATCTTCTGGAAGTATAAATAGATTCAGGATAGTAATATAATTGTAGGATTCTCCCATTACGTACTCTTGATAATGTATTACTTTGTGAGGGAGAGAGAGGTGGAAGAGTGAGAAAAAGCGGCGGAGGAGAAGGTAGTCAAGATCTAGAGGAAGGTATAGCTAAGCCCTGAGGCTTGCTGTATGTAATCACTACGGCGTATGAGTTGTAAAATCTCACTTAATGTGCTACGCTAAATACCACATATATGCCAATAAACAGAGACTTGAGAATATCGAATGAAACTTGTACTTTATCAATTAATAAATTATCCAGTCAACAACAAGCACAATTACTAGCTATACAAATGACGATCAAACAATGTCAAACAAAGTTTTTCTTTCGTATGTAGCGGTGACTGCTTGTCTAGGTGCGTGCGGTTTACACAACTCGGACTTACTCAAAAATACTGTGTGGGGCGCGACCTATCTTGCGTCATTCGTCAGGTCGCGCCCTTTTTGGACTAGAGGGTGCTATGACGAAAGGGTGATACCTTTGATTTTATGCCTCTTTTATATCCCCTGCCTACATTTTTACCTATTTGTCTTACCGCAGATTGCATAGATTCACAAAGGCCTACGTTCTAGGCCAGTGGTGGGCAAACTTTTCAAAGCGAGGGCCACATCAGTGGGCCATGAAAAGTCAAAGGGCCGCATCTTTTAAAATCGGGCGGTGCGCTCTAAGATAATATCAAGAGTAGATAAATAACAGTTATATCATGTTATTTATCTACTCTTGATAATATGTACGTTTCGCCTCAAGGGCGCCATCTCTGGACCATAATTAGCTGAAATGGCGTTGCAGAGCGAACCAGAGACAATAGAACACTAATCTGTATGACACTGAAAAAGTCAGCCTCGGGTTCAAGCACAAACATGTTGACTTTCACAAAAATTTATTGATTTAAAAAAAAGATTTTTTTTTGTTTTTTTCTTTTTTTTTCTGCAGGCTTCCGCGGGCCGCACAGAACCCCGTAGAGGGCCGCATGCGGCCCGCGGGCCGCAGTTTGCCCACCCCTGTTCTAGGCTGTTGAACTGTCGTCAAACTTGTTAGAAACGTTACCTATGTCTTTTAATTGTCCAAAGGACCTGATGGCATATATAGTTAAATTCTAACATAGTCGTGACATTTCGCCAAGTTTAACACAACAATTATAACGGCCGAGAGGGTCCGTCATTATACTCCCCCCCCCCGCCAAATGAAAGTTATGAGCCCTAATTTATATGGCGAATAACGTTTTCGTAACTGTAAAATGATTTTGAAAAGAGAATCGATGCAACCTTGGTTACTGAGTCATGTAAAACTATTGGCCATTCGTTATATAATAAAAGTTGAAAGCTTTGATAGCTGGTAAATGGTAAATGGTAATATAAGTTGAATAGCTGGTGATACGGGTATGTTTTCGTGATCGTCATTGTATAGCAGGTCTATTACCATTTACCTTGCGAAAAGAATTTTAACCGTTCACAAAAATTATGTAAAAATATATAATAATTACTCGCGCTAAAGTTATGTGGTTAGTCGCGTAACATGCTTATATTCGCGTACAACAACGAGGGTTAGTCGCGCATCCTTGGGACCTTGAGTCCGTCGTCCTTCCGTTGTCAGTTGTGATAAATGATATGCATGTCGTTGCAGAGGCTCCATAGTGCTGGAGTGGATTGCCGGTGTGGTTGGGGATGCGGTTGTAATGGCCAGCCCCTGATTACGTTGGGCATGGCTGGGCATTCCTCATGTCTCGCTTATAGTTTGCGTAATCAATGGCACCCGCTGGTGAAGCCTTGTGGTAGGAAGCCATATGGTCAGTGGCCGAGGTGCCTGGTAGCCTTCACCTGGCCCACAGATAGGTAGTTGTGGTCTGTGCAGTCATTCGACATGTCTACAAGCAGTCGCTGGTGTTGCGAGGGCTGGATGAGTCTTCGTTGCCGCTGACAGGTCTCATACTGTCGCTGCTGTTGCTCAAGAGTGTACAGTTAGATGACATGCCATACAGTGTAACCAATATCATGAGTCAAGTAGCTGAGTTTTTATATATTCATAGCTTGACATTGTTAGACTATCTCTACAGTTACATATTGTTATTGTTAATATACATGAGCAACGTAATTTAGTAGGTTATGGAAGGCTCCTACGTCTGTGCAGGCGTGTAGCCAAGGGGCGCGTGTGCGTAAATTATTGTGGGCTTGTGCTCGTGCTAGTATGTGATGGCTATCGCCGATCCCCCCCCCCCCCACTCCTCGGTACGGATTTACGCCCCTGATTCGCACACTTGACCTGCTCATTGCCGCCCCCCCC